TTTTCGGAGATGTGTCTGAACAACCAAGTACTAGGATCCGCGCTCCTTTTTCCACTCTCTTTCATGGCGTGGCGTGATCTTTCCTCCGTCTCACTATTTCAGGACGAGGATGCGAATTCGCGTGGGGGAGGAGAAGGAGGGTGTGTGGGATCAACGCCAGGCTGTGGAAGAGTGTGCGTGATACTTGTTCTCATAAAGACATAACTGGAAATTTTTCTCATACGGTAAAAATCGTGCGTTTTTTAGATACTTATGGGCAGATTTTTGTTGACTAGTTTGTATGGAGGGCAGGAACATTTAAATCAAAAGAAACAAAAAAAAGTGAACACTTACACAATATGTAGAACGACCATTAAATTGTAAAAATTTGAAGAAACTATATTACTAGGTTATTAACAACTACTTGTGTAGTTTATTATCTTATGTACGTGAAGTTTTGAAAAACACACATTAGGGTTGGTATTTTTAAAGCGTTGTACATAAACATTTAACACATTGAAAAATAATAAAAATAATGATAAAAATAATATAGGTATTGAAAAAAAATTGGAAATTATGAAAACTTGTACGTACATTGTATATTTAGATAGAAACGAACATTGTTGGCATCCAGGAGACACCCTGATTATGTTTCTCCATAAGACTAAGACTATATTACAATAGTTATGAAATCAACCTCTGGGCATGTCTGGTGCAAAAGGAGACTGAGTTTTGGGTTAGAGTCGTGTATGGTACCGTAAACAAACAGAAGAAAGTACATGAGATTCTGGTGTTTTTACTTCCTGGACCGTACAGTCCAACATACCCGGCTACTGGTCAATAAGGTCACAGACGGGCATACATTTGAACTGAATAGGTCTGTAAAGTCATTGGTGAATCTGTGTCGAAAGACTAACTTATTTAGCCGTCACCAGATCTCTTAGGTACTAGTCGACCTTATGTAATCGTATTTGTGACTCGTCCATAAGTCTCGCCTGAGACCCCCTCGGTCCTTGGAGAGCGATTTTTTTATTTACTTGAACCGCACGGGGAGACAAACAACCTTCATTACTCTACATTGATTGCCACCCTCAATACATGTTCACTTTTGTTTCATTAGGTGGTCTGTAAATTGCTTTTTTTTTTTACGAGACACTCCGATTACTTCGAGACACTCGGTTACCGGTGGGGTGATCTCTCTCTAGGATCGGAAACATTCGTGTACTCTTGTCGTAGTCCGACTTGCCCAGATATCTCTTCTTCGCCGTCCTTTCACTGGAAAGGATTGAAATCGTCCTCTCGGTTTTTGTTTCACATTAATAAGTTCCAAATAATATATGGATACTTCTAGTTTAGTGTTTAGTTCAAAATAATATATGGTAAAAATTTTTTTCGCTAAAACCAGCTTCGGTTTGCACGACATCGTATATTAGTTAAAGGGGGTGGAATGTAATTTCCTGTTTGATATGTCGGTGATATTTGCTATCTACATCTATTCGTGATTGTAGCTAGTTCATTGACTTGTCAACACAAAGTTTTTTTTTGGAGAATCCAATTGATAACTTAACCGCAGATATCTTGTAAATGTATTATACTTTATTATTGGAACAGACCATCGATTTTATTGGTATTTAAACCGTCGTGAACTAGAGAATAAAGTACTTTTACAACAATGGAAGACCTTATAGCTAACTCAAAAATGGCGAACGTGCTATTTATGCTAATGATATACACCTGGACATCAGCAGGAGAGGACTCTTTAAAGTAGAGACACTACATACTGATATACACCTGGACATCAGCAGGAGAGGACTCTTTAAAGTAGAGACACTACATACTGATATATACCTGAACATCAGCAAGAGAGGACTCTTTAAAGTAGAGACACTACATACTGATATACACCTGAACATCAGCAGGAGAGGACTCTTTAAAGTAGAGACACTACATACTGATATACACCTGACATCAGCAGGAGAGAGAGACTATACTGATATACACCTGAACATCAGCAGGAGAGGACTCTTTAAAGTAGAGACACTACATACTGATATACACCTGAACATCAGCAGGAGAGGACTCTTTAAAGTAGAGACACTACATACTGATATACACCTGAACATCAGCAGGAGAGGACTCTTTGAAGTAGAGACACTACATACTGATATACACCTGAACATCAGCAGGAGAGGACTCTTTAAAGTAGAGACACTACATACTGATATACACCTGGACATCAGCAGGAGAGTAAATCCAGTATTTCGAGCTTCTTCACTTCCTGTTTTGCCTCCAGTGCTTTTTACGAGATGCCGTTTAACTCGTTTATACTGTGAGCATCTTTTAAATGACACGGCCATCTTGAAACAATTACACGGGCTGTTAGCTCTGAACCCTCCACTAACTCAGCTCCTGGTGATTTAATAAAGCATGCCAAAAGGTTAAAGGGTAATTTGCTCACAGAGAGATGAAGCACCTGGATAACTTCAACAAGTGGAGGAGAGAAATGTGCATCTGAACATCTGAGATTGATGAGCTGTTGCACACACTTCCTTAACGACTGCAGGTACTGGACTTAAAGGGATACTTCAACCCATACAATAATGACTTATATATCAATTACTCACCCCATGATACTTTGAAATATTGCAGGGAACTTTTGCATGGTTCAAAAAGATCAAAATAAGAAGAAATACAGAATTTAAGGAAATCAGGGCCTCGTTCTTGTGCATGAATCCTACTCGTCCAGATGAGTCCAACATGTATTTAAAATGTAGATTATCTTAGATAATGCTTTTTAAAAAATGCAACAGTCCATTTATTAGCATGCAAGAAACACAACCGGTTATCTTCAAGAATACAAAGTTATCTGTGGAAGTAATTGATATATCAATGATTATTTTGGGGGTGACTCTCCCTTTAAGTGCCTTTTCATACGTAATGTTTCCTGCAGCGCTGCATTATGAAGTATATCGTTCATTGTTTGGCGCGCATGCTTCTCCATGGCTTTGAATCCCTTGTTTATAATCGGTCTCTTGAATCAGGGATAACTGTCAGGGAGGAACAGCTCGGAGAGATGATTCCTCTTCAGCCTGATTTCAGAAAGCAGGTCTCCTCTCTGCTGGAGAAGACGTGATTTAATTACAGTCGGCTAATCATGGTGTTTCTATTTATAACTGCTGGATTACTCACTTATATGTGCTGACTGCTGAGTGTGCACTTCATTGGGACTCATAGAGTGCTGCCCCCTGTGGAGAGAGAGGGAATGGCTCCCTCTGCTTTGCATGAATGAATGAGTTGGAGTGACGCCCAGACAGCGAGATGCTGAGCGTGTGTTTCTGCTGAGCTGGACCCCAGCTACTCAGCTGATGGATGCTGCAGTGGTTCACGCTTCACACACACAGATGTGTTTGTATTCACATGTTGTGTGTGTGTGTCTTCAGGGCTTTCTACCTGGACCAGTCCAACCTGACGCCAAGCTCCACTCCTAAAGCTGCTCTCATCGATAAGGTGAGAGAAACTCATGATGCCTTCAGGACGAGACACAAAAACACTATCTTTAATATTATATAAAACAGAGAAATTACAAAACCCCATTTAGTTTTTCCCCGCATAAAAAGAACAACTCTGTATAGAGTTCAGAGTCATATACAAGTCACAATGCATCTCCCTCTGTAACTTATCTGTACAAGTCTAAAATCCAATTTTGGAACTATTCATTGTTTTGCAACATACAAGTTGTTAACTTTGGGTTTGAGTCTCATACAAGTTGTTAACTTTGGGTTTGAGTCTCATACAAGTTGAACTTTGGGTTTGAGTCTCAAACAAGTTTAACTTTGGGTTTGAGTCTCATACAAGTTGTTAACTTTGGGTTTGAGTCTCATACAAGTTGAACTTTGGGCTTGAGTCTCATACAAGCTGCAATGCATCTGTAGTTTAGTTGAGTCATTGGTGTTTAGTCCAAGTTGCAGGTCTTCTTTCATTTAGACCGAACTCAAAACCTATTTTTGAAGTGTAAACTTTGATCACAGGTGGGACTAAGTCATTGTTTTACAAGCCGTAGCAGCCAAGTCAAACATCCTAAAGTTTAAAGAAATGTGTTTAGTTAGTGAAGTATACATTCTGCTTTGTGACTTTTTCATTGTTTTGCAAGTCACTAGTCTTGCACCTACATCCCTAGCCCTTAACTTTCCTTGTCTAGTCACAATTCATCTCTCTCATCACAAGTCAGTGTTTCAAGTCAGTTATAACCTCATATAACTTGTGTCTGGAGTCCATACTCTTGTCTATCTACCGGACAGAGGACCACAAGGACCTAATCAGCTGATCTTCTCTTTTTGCCCCTCCCCAGCTGATGCGCCCCCTGAACGCAGTTGAGGAGTTGTACCGTCTGATGGAGAGTTTCATCTCCTCCCGGCGGACCCCCCCCTGTCAGTTCACAGCCTGCGGGGCGTCGGGGGTCGGGCTGCTCAGCGTCTCCTCAGAGCTCTGCTCCAGACTGGGGGCCACGCACATCGTCATGTGCAACAGCGGGGTGCATCGGTGAGTGTGTGCACTTCATTTATTACCCTGAAATCATCCCTCTACTTCTACTCTCTTCAGTTTTCTCTTAACGGTCTCCTAGCAGATATCACAGGTCTCAGAAATATAAAAAAACCTTGTCTATGAAGTGTTTTACTCAAAATACCCAACAGATCATTCTAGCCTCACCCCCCTCTGTTTCAGCTGTTACTAAAGTGCTGATTCTGGGTCTGTAGCATTCAAAAATATATATTGATGAAACTCCATATCATGTTCCAAACCACATCAAGGATTCTCTCTGAAACAGGATGGAGCTCAAACTCTTTCTCTCTCGTGTAAGCCATGCTAATGTAAACACAGACCATATTACTCCAGAACACGTCTCATTGTTTCTGACAGCAACCTTTCTGATTGGCCCGTGGGTGTAAAGCCCGCCCACATTTTAGTAATGTGGTCATGACGCAGCAAATCTGGATCAGCTCCTTTGTTCCCCGTTTTAAGAGATGTGGGTACGGAGGAGAAGAGAGAGGGGTTTATTTCCTGACACTTTGAGAGTCTCCTGACACACCGGGGACTCACCGGGGACACATGGTGACACACCGGGGACACATGGTGATGTAGAGAAGACATCAGGAAGTGCATTTTGCATGATAGGAGACCTTTAAAGTTAGATCGTGGGTCTCAATCAAGCTCTACCCGAACATATCCCCACTAATAACTTAATTTCCAGTTCATGATTTCTTCCTCTCTGCGTCCACAGAGTCAGCTGACCAGCCGTCTGCAGGAGTCTGACAGTAAACAGGAAGTGGAGGAGTCCAGGAGGAGGAGCCTGTCAGTGGTTTCCTCCTCCTCTTCCTCCTCCTCCTCTTCCTCCAGGAGGAGGCAGAGTGGGGACCCGGTGCTCGAGGCCACCATGAGGCAGCTGCAGCAGCTCGGAGTGAACGTGGAGCAGGAAGGTCTGAGCGAGGCCAGCAGAGTCCTTCAGAACAGTATCGAGAGCAGCAGGTGACACATCGCCTGGTTCTGATATCTACTCATTAGTTCATAGATTATTTTGGGTTTTCTAATATGATGAAATGTATTTGTGCATTTTGTTTTACAAGACATGGGACTTGACATGTGTTTTTAAATCATTTTGAAACTGTAGTGTTTATGTTCTCCTGATGTTTCAGGTTCATATTAGTGTTCGGTGGCCCTCTGTCTGAAACAAGAGCCAAGAAAAACTCATCATTCATAGATTTTGAGAATTTCAAAAAATTCTAGAAAACATTCAACATTTTGAGAAATAGTCAGAATTCTGAGAAGCTCAGAAGAAAGCTGGAGTTTTAAGATTTTCAGAAAAAAATCTTAAGTTATAGATCAAATTCAGAATTTTGAGAATTTCAGAAAAAATAATTGAAATTTCAGAAGAAAGTCTGAACTTTGAGATGTTTAAGAAAACAGTTAGAATTTTTTTCAGAAAAAAATCAGAATTTTCAACAAAAAAAAGAACAGAATTGAGGAAAAAAGTCAAACGTTTAACATTTCAGAGAAAAGTTTGAATTTTGAGGAAAAAGTCACAATTTCTCATACAATGTATTATTATATATTGGAGCGCTAGCCAATAGAACTGTTCAATACAATCAAATGTATTTGTGCATTTTGTTTTACGAGACATGTGTTTATAAATACTTTTATACTTTTAAAGACTTGTAACATACTCTTGTCTTCTGTGTGTGTTTTCTCTATCTCTCTCTATCTCTCTCTCTCCCTCAGCACCCTGGCGAGCATCAACCCGGCGGCGGTTCTGTCCCGCCTCAGAGTCCCCTCGCCCTCGGCCAGCGCTCTGTTCCCCGGCCTCAGCGCTGATCTGAGTCTGGAGGCGAACGCCATCGCCCTGCGTTACCTGAGCGACTCTCAGCTCAGCAGGCTGTCTCTGGGGGGCCACGCCCCCTCACACCGAAGCCCCGCCCCCTCCACCGACGTCTCCCTGATGTCGCCTAGCAACATGTCCCTCGCAACCAGGAAGTACATGAAGCGATACGGGTTAATCGAGGAGGAAGATGGCGAGGAAGAGGAGGAAGATCGTCCTCCGCTGACCGAAGCTCTGAACGTGAGGCTCCTCCCACAAAGTCAGCTGATCCGAGAGCTGAGGCCCAAAATGCAGCTGTTAGTTGGAGAAGCTAAACCCAACGACGACGACAAGGAGAACTGCCCCAGCAGGCGGCAATCTTTGATGAGGGCGAGCAGCCGTCAGACAGAAGGGTCGGTCGGGAACATCCTGGACCTGAGCCGCCTCCGACAGCTGCCCAAACTCTTCTGATTCTGAAAAACTGGTGTTTATTAAATGGAGTGTGGACTCAAATTTCCTGGAGACCGCTGCTCAAACTCCAGACTAAAACCCCCTGAGACAAACACAAAGACACCAGACTAAAACCCCCCGAGACAAACACCAAGACACCAGACTAAAACCCCCCGAGACGAACACCAAGACACCAGACTAAAACCCCCCGAGACAAACACCAAGACACCAGACTAAAACCCCCCGAGACAAACACCAAGACACCAGACTAAAACCCCCCGAGACGAACACCAAGACACCAGACTAAAACAGATGTGTTAAAGGGGCTTTTAAAGACTCTTA